AAACTCCACCATAACACGATCTTCTTACCTCCGCTGAATCAATGCCTTTGTTTGTTCCCCCATAGTCGCCGGTTCGAGTATCAACTCTCCGCCATCGTCGTCGGCGTCTTCCGGGATATCTATAATAGTCTCCGGAATTCTACCACCTTCGTCCTCTGCCGGTTGTAGAGGATCGGGCTTCGTTGACTCTACCGGAACTACGGCTCTGAGAGATTGATTCCTGAGGGACTCAGAGCATTGCTTCTGGCAAGAAAAAAATGAGTTAAAAAATTCCGATGCCGGGACTCGAACCCAGGTCGTCTGGGTGAAAGCCAGATATCCTAACCAGCTAGACTACATCGGACGATGAAAATAAAGCCACATACCCGACCCAGTATCTCACCGTGAATTTGCTATAACACTTTCCGATCGTTCCTCCGCACTCGGGTCCGCAACTCTCAGAAACACTTCTTCCAAATTCGTCACCGACACGCCATACGTGATCAACTGAAGTGAACTGTGAGCCTACCATCAAAGTCAGAGACCAACTCGAATCGGCGGCGGCCCAACTCGGGCTTACCAGGCCTTTCAACGTGTCACTTCTGCCAGCTATCTCAGCGTCAAGATCGTCCATGAGCGCCGGAAAGTCCTTAGCTGCAGCAAACGGCACTTGCACTAGTAGCTCCAGGCCAGCAGATGAGAGGACCTTGACCTATCAAGACGCAGTTCATGGCAGTGTGGGGGAATATGCACATGCCCAACTACATGTGTTGGTGAAGACAACCGAAAATTCAGAGGGAATTTTCACAGAATTCCAGTTCACTTCTACCCGAATTCAAATATAAACTCCAGTATGATGCGTGATGACACTTATAAACCCCGTTGAGAATAGCAGAGGTATTGCCAGCCGTAGAAGCTCACGCCGCAGGCGTATGTCTTGAAGACTTATAATAATCAAAGCGCCTGTAGTTTTACACTAGAACTGTGCTCTTGTAGTAATAACAGGTTACTCAATTAGGCGTGCGAACGAAAACACCATCACTTCGAAGATTTACAAGTCCTAGCAACCACTTTGAACCATACGCTTCAAAAAAAATCCCAAGTCCCCCAACTACCGTAGCCTTACCTGTCCAACCAGGCTCCTATCGCCTATACGCTCCTTAAGAAACTTCACCACCGACTCATCTCCCTCGTGAATCTCCTTTTTCTTCACAAAACTCAATACATAACCACAACCATAACACTTCTTCAGGAAACTCGACGATCCCAAACACTTCAACTCCCCACTGCCCATTATAGCAATTCTATCACCCAATACGTCAGCCTCGTCCATGTAGTGCGTAGTAAGACATATAATTCTGCCCGGTCTTCGCGCCTTCAAAAGCTCCCAAGTAGTTCGACGCGCATACGGGTCCATCCCCGAAGTGGGCTCATCCAGTATTACCAATTTAGGATCACCAACAAACGCGATCGCCACCGATAATTTTCTCTGCATGCCGCCGCTGAGACTATCAGATCGGAAGTCCCTTCTCCCCCCTAAGCCGACTTCCAGCAACAGGTGATCACAAGAATCTCGGAAAGCCTTCGAGCTCCTATTGAAGCCCCGGATACCACCAAAGCACTCCAAGTGCTCCATCGCTGTCAACTCTGGCCACAGCGCATTATGCTGAGGACACACACCTGTGATGCATCTTATTGCTGCCATATCTTTGGGAATCTCCAAACCGTACACGCTCACTCTGCCAGATGTCGGCGATAGGAAACCAGTAATCGCGCCCATCGTAGTCGTTTTACCCGCGCCGTTGTGGCCCAACAGTGCGAAAATTTCGCCCTCATACATGGACATAGTCACGCCGTTCACAGCAGTTATGGTTTCACCAGAAGCGCCTTTGAACTTTTTACAAAGTTTGGTGATTTCCACACACTTTCCTGCTTTCCTGAGCGCCTCCTTATACGCATCCACCTTCTCACGAGGAATCGATCGCTCATCATTGTCATCAACATCATCATCAGAAATCATCTCGCGTTTATCACCACCAAAGCACTCCAGCCAATAGGACTTCTGGAACATAAAATAATAAGGCCGACGGAACCCAATTTGGTAAGGATTTGTTTGATCAACGTAATAGTATAAAATCCACCACAAGACTGACGCCAGAAAATTCATAGCAACCGACTGAGCGTACGAATAATTGCGGTAATCGACAGTAGTATTATCAGAGCTCAGGCCACCGTAGGTCTCCTCGAGAAAACCTATAACATTGAGCCCTTCGCGAAAACCGACAATCGGTATAAATGACATAAAATTTTTAGTAGACGCGGACGCATACTCTGGCACCGAGATGAACAAGCCCGCGAGGTACACGAAAAAACCAATGACAGCTCCAACTCGCTCACGAGTAAAAATCGCGGACATTAGGAATGCAAATGACATACTCGAGAGACCAAAGGAAAAGTTGAGCATGAATATGAGCACCCAGGACGAGTTCTTATATGTGCCGACTTTCATCACCAGAGAGATCGCTAAGCATATAACCAACCACGTGACGATCTGTGTGATCAGCCACGACACGTAATAGGATACATCCAACAGGCCCATCATTCGCATAATTTCGCGAAGTCGCATTTCTTTCTCTCGTATAAGCCTGGAGATCTGCACACTGACCGATGCAGAGAAAGCGAAAACTACCAACCACGTGAGATCGCTTACCAAATCGATACCATCCGAGGACCAATACGGCTCCACTGGAAAAGGCACCGACAAAACTCGTTTAAAAACCGTCTTATCCTCGTTGTTGATATCAGCACCAGGAATCTCGATAGTCTCAGTAACAGCTTCGTGTCGCGAAGCAATAAAGCGTTGTACCAACAACTGTATCGCGAGAAACCCATTCCTAATATAAAAATGTCGCGCAGAATCATCACCAACGTGACGCTCAATTCCCCTAGGGTCATCCTCGAGTGTCGCACGTGTTATCCATCTACTGATTCGTCCAATAGTTGCATTTAATCTGATCTTAAACTCGGGTTTTTCATCGCGGAGTACATCATTTTCAAGAACAACCGCGCCACACAGACGGTCCCAGGCCAGAGGATCACTGCCGCGCTCCTCACCAGAAGTAGTCTCAACTGACGAGCCGTAATTTTCATCTTCGATATATTCCTTCAATGCGTCTTCATCACTAAATATTCTGAATATTGTTCGAGTTTCCCACGAACCGCACTGCGCCCAATTCGTAAGGAATATCTCCCTCGCGTCGCTGTCGCCATAACCCCCCTGAACGAACCCAGGCACATACTGATTTCCAAGTTGCCAATGATACGTAAAATTATGACCAGTAGCATTGATGACTTCATTTTCAAGTTTTTCATATTCTCCTTCGAAATAACTCTTCAATTCATTCGCGAGTTCATTTTGTCTGTCACCTTTAGCCACTATTGCTAGACTCTTACACCAACAAGACTGACCAGAATCGGCCATCGGTTGCCTCCTGAAAATTCCCCAGTATCGCGTATCGTCCACAAAATCAACATTAAAATCTTGTGCCCTCGGGTAGCCGTTCGAACTCACCGGATCAGCCTCAACTACTTCTTTGCGTTCAAAGTCCAAACCGAGTAAACCAGGTAGTTGAAAGATCAGCCAGGATAGTATTATCGGTAGTAGTATTTCACAACAACTACACTTCCAACTTCGCACTTTAAGAATTGCGTTTTTCCTCAGGAGTGTGCCAACCTGGCGGTGAACCATGCGTTTAGGGGTGTTCAATCTCGACTCAGTAGCGTCAATCTGAGCTTCTGAGGGAACCGACTGAGTCATTTTGCCTTCCATAAAAAGCTTAACCGAACCACCTTTTCCTTATTAATAACACAATCCAAAACTAATGTTATAATGTTCGAAGTAAGAGACGGCTCCCAACTCGCTGTCGCCTATTTTCGGGCGAGCGCTAAATTAAACGCGTTCTCGGAATTATGTTCTGTTATCATGTTTAGGTAATAATCGTGTATTGGTTTGTACCACTGTTAACCTAAGGGGCCATCGGAGTAAGAGCGCCTATTTCGTATAGCGTGATCGATATATCCTCATAGTCTGTACGCAAGTACATAGTTATAACTCCCTCTATCGGCTACTACGGTGCTACTGGTACAAGAACGCTAATACGAACTAAAGATGTTCTTGTTGATAACATATTGTCTATAGTGAATGCTAAACGTAGTATATAAGAGGGTCCACCCGCGATTGGAAAAAGGATCTCTGAGAAAACACGTAGAACACGTCGTGAAACGGCTGCTGGTTGGACATGGCCACTATTGATTAAATTAAGATTTCACCCTTCTCCCAACTTCAAGGGATTGAGTTCAACTATGCCTCCTGAAGTGGAGACAAACGATCTATCAACAACATGTACGTTGTTCGGAATCCTCCGAGCTCCTCAGCGAGTGACATTGGCAATAAACTCAGAGCCTTTAGATGAGGTTGTTATATTTACAGCAAGAACGATAGGAAAAAGGGGACAAGAAGTTTTGTGGTGCCTACAAAGATATGGTTAAAAGGACAACTAGATCACAACGTCATAAAACAACGGATATACATTGGCGCGATCTGGCATCTCTAACACTGTGAAGCAGAACTATATTGCTAAAGTAGATGAGCAAGGTCCCGATGTACAAACACCGGCCCAGCTGTAATATACACAACCACTATTTCACTAATTTCCCGCCGGAAAATACGAGTAAAATTTTCCTCCAAATTGACCTACTAGAACTCGAGCGCACAACTCATCCTGTAAATGATACGCAGTGTTGTTTCTAATGATATTTAGTGACAGAAGGAAAATCGAGGTATGCAAGTGTGTATTGCCATCAACACGGGGAATATTAAATCGAATATACACCTTTTCACCAGCCGAGGAACATAGCCCATGCATACCCCACAGTGCTTATGATGACTGAAATCAACAACGCCACAGCAAAACCTGACAGCAAGTTGTTTAACAATCGGAAGGTCCCCGGATCGATCCCGGCATACCTGACTTTACAAAGTCTCTTGACTGTAGTATTGGGGTAGTTGGCGCTCCAGGCAGCGACAGATTGACCACTCCTGCGGCGTTTGCATTAGGGAACGAGCTGAAAGACGAAAATATGAAAACCTGAAAATGGTCAACTACATGTGTTGTAAAAAATTCCAAGGAAATTTCTATGGGTTTCTGCACACTTCTACCCGAATTCATACATAAACCTCCACAACAAACTTTGTGTGTGAAATCCTGAGCTCAGCTGATGAAACTAACAGTGGCATCCACAATCACAAAACATCGAATTGAACTAATCACATAGACACCTCACCTCACAGGCAGACCCATCGCTGCTGATGTCATAAACGCACACCCAACCGTAAACAAGCGTGGATGTCCAACAACAGCGCCAACCTGAGGTAATGCAAATCTCGCTCGCCCCAAAAATAATAACCACCACCACGATATGTTATTACTTACCTTAGCAACAACGGGCAAGGCCACAATGGCACACACTGTCGAGGAGAGGAAGTTGGCGACCAACCCCGTGCAGAGGAAGAAGCAAACCGCGCTCGCCCAGACACTTGATCCTTCCAAAGACTTTGATATTTCATCAGCTATAATACGCAAAAGGCCCGAACTCTCCACTGCGTTGCCGAGAGCTACACCTCCACCAAGTAGCGTCAGGACGGACCACTGAAATGGGAACTATTTAACACCAAACTTAATACAGGTTATATTTCTAATTTCAATACACGGTATTGAACTAGCATTATAAACAGTAAAAATCCACGCAACGACTATGCCGCACCCCGGGGGCTCGTCAGTGAACTATATAATGATCTCTTGAATGGTCGTCAGAATCAAATACCAAAAACCGAGTACATTCCCTATATTTCTGACATGCGATATTGAACTAGCATTATCTATAGTAAAAATCCAGACAATGACTATGTCGGACCCCGGAGGCTCATCAGTCAACTATATAATGATCTCGTGAAAGGTCGTCAGAATCAAATGAATCAACCGAATATATTCCAATATGTGATATTGAGCTCGCATTGTACACAGAAAAAATCCAGACAATGCTGAACCTCAGAGTCAGGCTACATATTGTTAATCAGCCAGATGATAGTGTTTCAAATGCTCCTACTACTAAGTATACGTATCATAATCGGATTATATTGATATCGATAAATACTATACCTTACATGTACTAACATATAACACTTGTGCTCGAGAGGGAGCGATTCCACCACGAAATGTATCAACTTTCAGACACTCTCCTCACGTGTTAAATCCAATGCCTACTGACTAATATAACATAATTATATGAATATCTTCATTAGTAACATATAATAGAAATCTGTGCCCCTCATCTTAGACATACTGGCAAAGAATCGATTGCATCCCAAGCTCACCTGCATGCCATGCCAATCTTCCGTCGTTAGAATGCCCAGACTATGTAGAGCTACGACAGCCATCAGCCCGACCATTCCCATACTTCCAAATACACCGTCAAGTCCAACTATATCGAATATCATCCACAAAAACACGGTTATTGCTACTATACCTGATAGCGAACACCTAAAGAGCGGGGCGAGTTAACCCAATATCAGCTTACCAAGGATAATCCAATCCGTGGATTTTAATGGCGCGTGACGCAACTCCGCATCTGAACAACTTCCAGACTCTCCATACACACCTGCATACGGTCATCAACACCCTCAAATTCATAAGCATTCACAACGATCATCCTCAGTGATTATATATTATTGTTATAAAGTGATAACGTATGATAACATGATAAAAGCTATCAGTATGGATATATGATATGAAGGGATACTGATATACTAGATCTTCATAACGGAGGGGCGGCGCTCGCTTGATCCGCGTTTGCTGATATGACCAATGAACTTGACGTATGTCCCCGGTTCGATCCCCGAGTTAGACATTCCCCGTCAAAAAAAGTTTTCGTGCATATCTCGCCGAGCTGTTCGAGAAATTGAGTTTTCCGATTTTTTGCACAGACCTCGGCATATAGAGGAGTCGTTTGATCTATCTGGTGCCCTCTAACGCTTCGTAGTTAAGCCAGAATAGTTCTGCACGCACGCACAACGCGAAAGTGCCTGTTGTCGCGGTATATGCTTTGTCTCTCCATATTACATAAAATACCCTATACTTCAATATAACTATACCAGCAATTAACGATATTTAATATTCCTACATCGCAAATTACGGCTCCAGAAATTACTCGGAAAATTTTACATTTTACGAATATAATAAATTCCGACTAAGACAATCAGTTTGCTGAACACTCAAGTGCTACTGGGAAGATCATTACCCTCACTAGAATTTCGTCGCCTCTCAGTCATCTCCACCATTTTCGCATCGCTCCGCCTCCAACTATACATAAATTTCAACACCACGAAAACTGACGCGGCTGCGATTGCACAAACAGGGAGAGCGAAAATGATCCATTGCATAAACGACAGATCAGAGCCGCCATTCGAACCTGACAATTGCTGTTATCCGCCCGATAAATTACCAGCGAATATTACGCAGAGCCACAAGAGCAATAACGTTCTGAGGGGAAGCGATCGGCGTGATCATGCCGCCGACGTTGCCTAAGTAAGAAGTGGTGGATTTCGGCTATGAATATAAATATCAAACAAGAAACTATAGTATACGCATTTCGTTATTCACAGAGTGCATTC